CTCTAAAATACATGGGAGTGAATTTTTGACCAATTAAACAATTCCGTAGTAAATAGCAAAATCGGCTATTTACAGTTGCCATCAATGTCGAGATTTTTCTGTATCAGTATTAAATTTCCCACCAAATATAATAACAACTTATATGAATCAGTGAGTGTTTTTCCATCAGGTTCGTGTTCTATTTGCTTTAATGTATTACTATTAATACCAAGTTTTCCTTGAATTGCTATTATATCCTTCTCTTTATATAAAAGTACTACTAGTCAAATATATTAATGCAGAAAATAACATATAAATATATAAATTAAGTGAATATAGCAAATTCAATCAACAACATCGTAACTGCGAATCACATCACATTATAATGGGCCTCAGGGGAGTGATATCATGTGTTTTATTTCAAGATTGATAATGCACAACAATTATCTGAAAAAACTGATTATGGTAGTTGAATTGGTCAGGCCTTCAGATGACATTAATATATGCATTAGCATTAGCTCTGCTATTTGAAATTGGTAGTCTATGCTTTCACCGTTACTATTTGGATTGAATTTTGATAGGCCTCACCATTGCAGATGATAAGTTCTTGTATTGAAATAATCACCACTACCCCATCTAACTTCTATATTATCTCTTATATTTCTTTTTTATGATCTTTATTGCATATAGGACAGGATCAACTCAAGAAATAACTATACAAAGAATTCGTAAAGGTTTGATCCTTGTCTAATCATTCCTGCTAAAAATCATTCAATACTATATTTTGTAATTCCCATAAATCCAAATAAAACCCATTAACTGCCCCAGCAGGGATGCCTCCAAAGGCACCATTAAAAAGTTCAATGGCAGGAATATGTAATTGATAAATCGGAATTCCAGAGGTATTGCATGCAGTTGCTGAAAACCTGACACCAACAATGTTAGCAAGTGGAACACCAATATTTATAAGAAATCCTATTGTATTAGGATGGAGAGGTGCTGTACCAAAAGATATGATGATGTCTGGCACCATATTAATTTGATTTGTATGTAGGTAGTGCAGTGCAAGCATTGCCCTTGTGCCATCTTGACGAATGGGAAATATTTTGATTGCAAGATAAATTTGAATAGTCGTTCATGGAGAAAAGTAACCTGTCGAGAGATCATGTAAACTAGGAACAGACTCACTGTTGCCAACTTCAACAACCAGTGTTGGATATGGTCTCCCTTCTGAGTTAGATCCCTGGCCAGGTAGAGGTCTAGCATGTCCTTGTGGTCAGATGGTAAGATCAGCATTATAGTAGCTATTCAGTCCCACAATAAGATCCTCCTCTTGTGCAACATGTAGTTGATTATTCCAGGTATATATCAAGGCTCCAATTCTCCATGATACTGTTGCATGGGATGTGAGAGGTAATTCATGAGCTATAATTTTCCTTCAACCAAACAAATCCTAACAGGGAGCTTTTGCTCAATTTCACAATATTTGATGTAGGCTTTGAGTGACACATTTTTCTTGATAATGATTGGCTTTATATCCTCGTTCGCTTCCATTTCCCCCTTTTGGAATGCAAGTAAGTGGTCCCTGGCTTGATTAAGGGACTCTTTGCTCAACTGAAGTGGGGTCGACTGCATATGGGAAGAAGTTGTGGCAGTTGAAACAGTAGAACTAATAGTCACCAAACATTTCACAAAATTTGATAGGCAAGTGTGTTTTCTGTCAATCATTTCCGAAAACACATATTAGTCATGGGACATGTTTTTTTTTATAATTTAGAACTTTATTGCCTAACTACAGATAAACTGCTAAAGCTAGTTTTAACATATATGTAAAACATATAGAGGTACAATAAAGAGCTTGGCTATAAAGCCATGAATGAAAATTTGGGTATGATTACTAATTATGATAAAATGTTATTAATTGTTATTTTAAAATGCATTATAAAGTGTTTATATATTTGTAGAGATAGATGTATGATTATAAGGAGGGAGGAGGGTTCTAATGATGGAGTTGGTTGAAGGCCAAGGTAGGTATGGAGTAATAAT